GTTCGAAAGATTTAAGAGGCTCAGCAACTTGCATAAAATTTCTATTCAGGGGGAGGCTGCTAGTGCTGACACCCAAGCAGCTTCCAGTTATACAAATAAATTTGTAGAAATCATTGAAGAGTGGGGTTATATGCCTCAACAAGTCTTCAATGCTGATGAGACAGGCCTCTTCTGGAAGAGGATGTCTTCTAGGACTTACATTTCCAGGGAGGAGAAGTCGATGCCAGGTTTTAAGGTGTCCAAGGATCGACTTATTCTATTGCTTGGTGGTAATGCTTTGGGGGTTTTAAATTGAAAACAGTGCTTGTATACCACTCAGAACAATGCCAGGGTTATCGTAAAAGCAGTCTGCCAGTCATTTGGAAATCTAACAAGAAGGCCTGGGTGACAATATGTCAGTCTTTCAGAGTTGGTTCAGGGATTATTTTTGTCCTGCAGTTGAGAAATATTGTGCTGAGAACCATCTGTCCCACAAGGCACTTCTCATTTTAGACAATGCCCCAGGGCATCCTACACCACACTTGATGGCCTCAGTGATAATGTAAAAGTTGTTTTCCTAGGCAGTCAGGACTACAGATGGAGAGGGTGCTCTGACCCTAAAAGAGTTTTGGAAGGGCTATAATATCCACAGGGTGATAGATAACATTTCAGGTGCCTGGGATGAAGTTGCCTCCAAAACAATGAATGGCATTTGGCAAAAGCTTTGGGCAGACCATGACCAGGATTCCCAAGAGTTTGAGGAACCAGTGGTGATAATTCGGGACAATATCATTGAGCTTGGGAAGAAAACTGGATTTGATGAACTTGAACCTGAGGACATTCAGGAGTTGATCAATTCCAACAGGAAGGAATTGAGCAATGAGGATCTCATTCAATTCGAACAGCAGAGAAGCCATGACGAGGAGGAAGACGTTCAACCAGCGAGGACCTTAACCAAAGGCATGGCTGAAGCTTTCAAACATCTGGAAGCTTTTCTTTCTTTCCTACTTTGGTAAGAATGACCCTGACATGCAGTGTTCTGAAGGTGCAAGAGGCGTTAACAATAAAGTCAGTTGTTACAGCCTGCTTTATGATGATGAAAAGAAGCCCGAAGTGCAGCTATCAATGGATTCCTTCTTCAGGAAGTACACAACTCTGGCTTCAACCCCTACAGCCCGCCCTCAAAAAAATCCTCAGCCAAGCACTTCCAAATCCCCCGAACTGACACTAACCCTAACCCTGACAGCCCTGATTCACGCTGAAGGGAGCAAAAAGTGAAAGTGCATCTGTGCATACAGTTCATTATTTTGTAATTTTATATCTTATTTCAAAGTTCAAAGTGTTAAAGCATTTACATACATTTAGATGTCTGAATTCATTGATTTTATAGTACTAGTGGGGAATTTTGGTGATATTATAGTATGAGTGGGGAGTACTGGGAACTAATTATATTTATTTACATTCATTCCTATGGGAAAATTGGTTTCACTTAACACTGTTTTGCTTAGCGCTCAGTTTTTCTGGAACCAAAGTGCTAAGTGGGGGTGTCCTGGACTCAGAAACCCCAGAATCTGATCCAAGGGCAGCTCCAAAGCAGAACAGTTCTGCTCTTCAACATGCTGATCTCAGGGAACGGTGCAAGAGCAACCACCTCCTGCTCTTGACAGAGTAAAAATTAAATTAACAAATACGTGTCCCGCACATTCTCCAGGAATTGCATGCTGTAGGATTCAGTGGGCTCCTGGGTCTTAGTGAGACAATGGAACTACCAGATCCTTTTTGCAGCACTCCTCATCTTCTCCCCCTTTCCTTTAGCAAATCTAACCTTCTCAAATGCAAATTAACTTGCTTGTTGCATGCTTCAAAGGGTCTTAAGATTTCTATTCTGGCTTAAGAGGCTTCAAATTTTTACTTTTATAATTTTAAGGTTGATTAATCATTACTTTAAAAAAAGTTTGTTTTCAGGGCTGATTTATCATCTGCTTACCTCTGGCGAGGCCATCTAGTGGTTTAACTGTTATAATGCAAGTCATGTCACATGGCTTTTCTGTGCATCACCTACAGTCTCTCTTTGAAAGGCATAACTTTATTTGTCTTTGCCATGATGAGTGAACCATTCCTCAGTGCTCCAGTTTCCAGAAAATGCTTTTATCCATTTTACTATTATGTAAAAATGATGTTGTAGCTGAGATGGTCTAGAAATTATGCGAGAAGCAATGATTTCTCAGAGTGATCTCTTTTACTGGACCAACTACGTAGTCAACATAATGTTAGACAAACCTTTGAATTCAAGTTTTTCTTTGTTGGGTCTGTATTTTTTCTCCATCTCCTAATTGTTGCGTTCATTTGCCAGGCATTTCGGCCATGATTTAAAGCTTGTAACTACATGTCATATTGACACCTAGAAGAAAATCTTTAGTCTGTGATCCTACAGTATATGTCCACTGTCCCCCTTTGAATCCCTCTGAAGTGTTCAGAATAATGCTTGGCTGTGTGCTTCCTTAAGGTGATTGTGGAGAGAGGCAGTTAGCCTGTTACCCTGAAGACAGGCAGAGGACAGGGTAGATACCTTATAGACTAACTCAGACTGCTGTGAAAAGACTTGCAGAGAAAAAGTTATTTTGGGTCATAGCAGGGACAAGCCAGCAAAAATGAGATGTGTGTACTTAGAGCCTAAATTATCTAACTACAGGCAAGGGCTTTAACTCCCAAAACAGACATTAAAAGCCACAGCAGCAACAGTCTCACCTCTGTTCCTAGTAAAGAGGCAGTTATGTTACCGTATCACTTCACTGTAATAGACAAACAATTATGCAAAGTCTATAAGCACCATCTCAGAATCCATAACCTGGGAAAACTAGGAGACCAAAAATGAGTGTAACTGAATACACACTGACCAGGAAACAGTTTTAGAAAGGACAGAGGCAGCTAGACTGAACAGTATTTAAAAGAAAGAGGAAAACAATTAGTTATTAAGTAGCTGTCTTTGAGATCCAACATACAGCTGGTGGGGGAGAGGGGAATGCATGGAGGAAAATAAGGGGGGAAATTTATTAGAATAGAATCCTATCTAGGCTAATTTAAATGTTGTTTACAGTCTGTAGCTAGTTGGATCAACTCAATACACACTACTGCTTAATAAAATACAATACTTCTGTGCAAGAATTATCGTGAAAAGGCCTATGAGAAGGATCTTTGCCCTAATGGCCTGTGAGAGGGGAGACCTTTGTTTTATTTTACAAAATTTACCACTGCTTTTTCTCAGGATTGCAAAGTATTAAGCACCTTTAAACAAGACACATTTCAGCCCTCTCAAAAAACTGGTTCAAAGACCTCTGACATGCCAAGGAACAGTGCTGAGAACCAGAATAGCAACTCTGTTCCTACGTCCTTTTCCACCTGCCTATAAGAACAGCTGAAACTCCCTTGTGAGAGACATGGGTCACCCACCCCAGGTCTTTCAGCAACATTTGATACTGACCATCTCCACCTACCCCAAACCTCATGCTCTGGCTCCTGCCTCAGATAAAAAGAAATGAATCGCTCAATACTGATTTTCTCCAAACTGTCCAACAACTGTGTAACTTTATGGGGAGATTATGAGACTATTCAGAAAAAAATATAACCAATACGCACTAAAAATCTCGGCACCTATTTTTGTCAGGCATACATGTTGCTGTCTTTCCAGTGTCTAGCCAAAAGTGGGAATTTGAAGAAAGCAAGGTTTTCAAAACTAGCAAAAGATGATCCAAGTAACAGGATGGCATAAAAGTGCTCAGAGGAAGATGGCTGTGATTTCTGCCTATGTCACTAATGGTGCTTTCTGGCTCATTTACCAATTTGCATTATTTCCCAAATTGATTCTGAATTTCCAGGCAAATGTCCACATCGTTGTCAATTTGGTCCTGTTTAGGATTTGTCCATTCTTTTTTCTTCTTCCTCATTGCAGTAATTTATAGATTTATGAGTTCTAGAGTGGACTAAGTCACTGTATTTTATGCAGGCCAACACTTAACAGCGTTAACAGAAACAGAAGCAATGCAATACATGCTTTTCCTTGAGGTTAGGTAGCAGCAACTGATGAGAAAAAACTGCACCAGTTTTTTAATAGCTCTGTCAGCTGCCTATTCATTTCTGGGTTTAATTCAATGCATGGACTTAGGTCAACTTACTCTACAGGAACGGGAGCAATAAAAATAGCTGTGTGGCCTGGGTATTATTAATGGATAGAGATCTCCAGAGCCTCACAATGGACTATTATAATTTAGGCTAGCTGGGGATTTCTCAGTCCAGGGCCCAAGATTCTCTAATTAAATCAAAGTAACTTACTACCCACATTGCAGAACCTCTCTCAAACATGTTTAAAGGATGGGGGGGAGGGTAAGAGTCAGCAGAAAATAGCTTATTTGCTTGTAAGTGTACTCTTCTGTTTTGTTTTTTATGTCTTCTCGGAAGACAGTTGCTAAATTAGTGCATGTATGTGTCCTGTGCCACATGGAAGGGCCCATTATATACATACAAAAAACAGTGTAGCTAGTAAGAAGTGAGAACTAGAACACAGGAGAACCAACACAGTGTGAAATGCCGAAGGATTATGTTCACTTGTACACTAATATACAATATTATACTAATACCTAGACCAAAGTTTCAAGACATTTAGCTCAGGTGGGCACGTAGCTTCTCTACTCTCAAACGTGATAAGTAGCAATCCAATTTTTTAATCGAGTGTATACAAGTGTAATTGTATTAATTAAACAATTACTTTACTCACAAGATGAATTTGGCTATTACGATAGTATTGAGTCTTGTATATTTTAATTAGAAATTTAATTTCAAAGTCCTCCTTCTGAGATCCCACCTAATGAACCAATTCAAATCCCCCCTCCCCCACCCTACCCCCAAAAAAGAGGTATGAATGCTCCATTAAGCATTTTGTTTTAACCAAACCTCCACCTGCAAGGCTTTTTCTACCCAGCATTAGACATCTGAAATTAAAACATCAGATACAAATATTCATATAAAAAAATCTGTATTGTGTCAAATGAAATAATCAATTTGTGTACAAATTTGCATGACAAATATAAAACCATGTTGAGTAACATGATGTACAAAGTGCTGGCTGCTGTTCTGATTTAATAACTCCATAAGCAACAGGCTCACACGGGGCATCATAAACACTGAGTTCTGTTAAAGGGTTCAGTCAAGGCACATGTATTCCACTGATTATCAGAAAACCAGAATGAGGATCAACCCGCATAGTTCTAACTCTGCTTATGATGCCTGTGTCCTTAAAGCCTGCAAGTTTTAAACATGCTACAAACCAGTTACTATTTCAATACAAATCACTGTCTGTGCAAAGCAAGAAAAAACAGTTTTGTATCATCTTCCATTTAAAACTAGCCATTGATTTTAGAGCCATTATGTGTTTTTTTCCTCTGATATTTTCCATAATGTGGCTTACCTTGTTTTTTATCCAAAAGATACAGACAGTATTTATTGAATTAATAATTACAGCCCTAATTGTAAATCAGTAGCTACTGTAAAGTTATCCAACATTGTTCATGAAGTTAATTAAAAAAAAAAAGTTTTCTAGATAACTTTTCATTTAACTAATTCGTAGGTTTTCCAGTAGCATAGCACACCACAGGTGGATTCGCAGTGGAACTTCACAAGGAAGAAGAAACCAGAAATTAATACAATTTTCTAAGTAGAGAATCTTAGGAAAGTCAGGTGGGAAGGGACCTCGTGAGGTCATCTAGTCCAGCCCCATGCTCAGGGCAGGATCATCCCTGACTATACCATCCCAGCCAAGTAATCCAGGTGCACATATAAAACATAAATTAATTATGAAAAAGACATTATTAGTTTCTGCAATTTCCTACATAAAAAATAAACTTAAGCTTATTATTTCCCATGGCACCCTAGGAAAATGTGTAGAAAGAGAGAAACAAGTTACCAAAGAAAGGCCTGGGGGCTCAGTACTTTGCCATACTGGCTGCTCTCAGTAAATCCTTTGTAAGTGAATCTTAACACCTTTGCTTTCCAAATCTGAATGCAAATCACAATACACGTCAAGCTAAGGCTACATATCTGATTCCAACCCTGTGAGATCAACACAATTGACATGGATAACCATTAAATCAGCCGTAAAAACACTGCATTTTTTTGGATAAAGAAACACTTTCTTTTTATACACCAGTTTTTAGGCACTTATTTTCCTGTGAAACTGTTTTGGCTTATGTCACACTTGCTTATTCGTAACATAACTGAATTGTAAAAAATTTATTTGGGCCATTTCTGAGTTGCCTCAATGTAAGTAAAAAACATGTCAAGCGCAACTTCTGTGTTTGGATGAACTCTTAAAGTTAAACATAAAAATCAGAATTCTGACATAAAAGCAGTGCACCACAAGGCATACGTGATTTGTGACATGACACGCATGCTTAACAAGACACAAGTTCCTAACCAATATAAATGTTTACTGTGCAGGCTTATATACCCACTGGCTTGTGTGGGTATGTAAGTACACTCATACAATCATCCTCCTTAGGGACTGTCACTAAGCCCAATTAATCCTTTCCTTCCCTTGCATCTTCCCAACTGCTGTAAAATGTGCCGGAAGGGTATCACCAGGGTCAGGACTAGTTCTGTGGGACCCTGCTGGACCTTATCACTGTTCGCTATAATTCAAGGGACCATGCAATGCAGTCCCAAAGCATTAAAAAAAAAAAAAAAAAATTCTGACAGGACATTTGAGACTTTAATCTAACAATAGCACCGACTTCCTTAAGAAACCAATGTAAAACCTAATGTAAAAATATTAGCCAGTGCAGTATCACAGATAAGATTTTAAACATGCAAGTCAAGAAATTCAGAGTTCTTGATCCTCAGAGGACCTGTAATTCTGTTCCGTTACACAAAATACTCTACGACAATACAATAAATGTTACATGCAGTAAGAAAACATTACTACTTCTGCAGTGTTGCTAAGTCTGGCACATCAACTGTGTTCTTCCTGACCTGTTTAAAATCTAAACGACACTGTGCACTGCATTAAAATTGACAGTTACGTTAGGTAAGCATGCGCAAGGAGCTCACTACTACTTCTGCTTACTGGAAACGTCCGTGTAATCAGAACAAGACAATTCCAGCACAAACTCCTCTTGCCTGCAAGCCCAATTCCATGAGTCAGCTACACTCTGTAAACTTTACTTTTAATACTGATCTCAGTAAGCTTTGTGTATTGCATTACTTTTCTAGAAAGCAACAAACTCAGTTGTGCAAACCACCATAAAAAACTAAGTTAGAGCCTAGGTCCAAGTCAAACACTCTCTGCATGACTCTGTTTCCAGTATACAAAGATGCCAAAACATATGTTCAAAAGTGCAGGGACATTATATTTATCAGCATTTGCAACCAAGTTGGCAGTGACATTTTCTGGATCTAAGTCAGAGTGACAGGAAGGAAAAGTAAAACTACCATTATGTCACAGGTTAAAAATTCCAAAATAGGGGGAAAGTTGTTTTAAACCAACAAAAAAGGTAAAAGGCACCCCACCTCAACATTAAGTTTCCTATTAACACACTGTCAGAAAAGGAGTACAAGCACGCTGCTCAAAAGTGTAGTCACTGGACTGCTTTGGTTAACATGTTGCAGTTGACATTTTTTTCCCGCCTTCAGGTCACTGAATCTTTCTTCTTTCGAAATGGCGAAGTCAGTCTTTTCCATATGCTGCTTTTCGGTTTGGTTTTTTTTTCCATTGCCATGACTGCTTCCTTCTCTTTCCTACGGATTTCTCGCACAAGGGCATGAAATACATCATCAATATAATAGCGGAATGCAGCTGAAGTTTCAAAAAAAGGGCAGGTGAATTCTCGTGCTAATGCTGAACCTTCTTCTTTGGACACCTTCAACAAAATACATATTAGTCAATGAAGGAAAAAAGTTTGCTTGTTTATTCTTTTCGGCCGCTTCTACCTATGGCCCTCACTTTTAACCCCATGGATTTTTTCATGCAACTTCCTACTTTTGGAGACTTCCAACCCTCTTTCCACACATCTCTGAAATATCTTCCTGAAATCCACTACTTCTCCTATTCACCTGATTCTCTGAACATTCGTATTTTAGTCTATGTCCATGTACATATACAATGTCAATCTTCTCGAGGTAGAGTTTGGTCCTTATCTCCATGTGCACATGTCGCTTTGTAATGAATAGAAAAGGTTTTCATAATACTAAACTGCAAGCACATCGGTCATTTGTCAACTTCTAAAGAATAAACAAAACAAAACAAAACAAAACAAAACAAAACAAAACAAACAAACAAAAAAAATCAGTGATCATTTTTGCTGCTTTTCCTTAAACTCCATTCAATTCTTTTTGAAGCCATGCGCAGCAACTATTGACTCCCTGTTCCAGAACAATTCCTTGGACTGGGTATCCAATTACAGCCATTTTGTTGGCCTATCACATCAGAAAATCATCTGATTTCTTTTGTACCATCATCTTTTGATCTGTTTTTGGATTGCTGTTTCCAGATCTTTCCATGCCCCTGCCTACCCCACAAATGAATACACACTTTAGACTGCTTTTTCCTAGACAAACTAGGTGATGTTCTTTGGAGTGTATTCTCATTTATCTTCTGCTTAGACTGGTTTCTACATTCTCCCTTATTATTGTCAATCACTCATAACTGTGCCCACTATATTTACTATTTGCAGATTGTGTTCACTTGCTGTTTCACCTGCAGTGCAGATTTGCTCTTTCAAGACTAAGTGAAAGGGAAAACTTAACATGCTTGAGTTTTGAAGTTCTAGGGAAAGAGAGTGGGCTCTCAAAGCTGGAGACTGATCTGTCTGAGATAAATACCAGGGCAATGTCAATAGCTACAACGTCACAATAAACTGACATGCTTATAGACCACCAGTGCATTCTGTGCTTAAAACTGACAGCCCACCACATCCTCTTAATCTTTCAACATTACTAAGATGACACTATAATTTATTTAAATATGAAACCAAGAACAAAAACAATAACCCAAGGAAAAGGAATAAGGATGTTTATTTAGAATTAGCTCTACCACTACACTATAAAACAGAAGTATTTTTCATCTTGCAAATGGTTTTGGGTAGTTACCTGTCGTAGTTGTGTCAAATCAGATTTGTTTCCAACTAGAACTACGGGAGTGTCGTCAGTGCGCCGAACACGGTAGATGAGCTGTTTGAACTCACGTGCTTCATGGAAACTGCGGCGGTCTGTGATTGAATAACAGATGATAAATCCCTCGCCCGCTCTCATGTACTGGTCTCTCATGGCTGTAAACTCTGCCTAGAAATAAACAGTAACATTTCAATTCCTGCACAAGTACAGCGGCTACTGATCAATGGCAGAGTCCTAACCATTTTAGTAACAAGGATATAACAACTTCACAGAGTGTTACCTTTCTGCCCTACATGTGGGACCAAATATGCACCTGTGGGATAAATAGACAAGGTAGCTGAAAGGCACAAGTTTTTGTAACTGTAGACAGAGGATCTGGAAACTTGGGGTATCTCTTAGCATATATCACTCAAATATAAAGAACAATGCAGCAGTGGAGAAGAAAGAACAAAGCAGAACACAAAACAAATAGCTGTTTCATGGCTACCAATACATGAAATAGGTTGGAGAGAGAGAATAACTCAAAAGGACAATATAACAGCAAAATTAAAGAAAAGATGCAGACACACATTAAGTATATGTGCACAACCCTATCATTATTTCCATCCTATTATTAGTCTCCACCTTATTATCCTTATTAATCACATACCTGTCCTGCTGTATCCAGGATGTCCAAATTTGCAGGTTCGTCATCAATACGTATTCGTATTTTGTAAGCATCCTCTGTGGATTTAGGGCAAACGGGGAAAGGAGAGAGGGGAGGGAATAAAAACCTAAATAAGACTATAGCATTTATAAACACATACAAAAAAATACTACATTGTATTTAACACTTTACCTGTTGAAATCACTGTATAACTGATAGATGGACTAATGTTTAAACTACCAATACTCAGAGCTACTTTAATTTGTCTTACCTAGGCAGACATTTACTTTGACAAATCCTTTGTAGTAGTATATACTATTCCTGATAAATGAGATAAAATGTGTGATGATTTAAGATTTCAGTTTTGTGCATCTTAACAGGAACCAAAAAGAATAAAGGAAAGGAGTATTTTTCTTCTCTTCCACTTGTTGGCATTTTCTACCTTTGAGGGGAGAGAGCAGACAAATCACACAAAAGAACTGCAATGGCAGCCATAAGAATTGTTGTCAACTCTCTGAAACCAAAGAAAGAAGATCAGAAGGAAGATCAGAAAGACCAGAAGGTCCCTGGACTTAGTGGGGTTGCGAACAGGAAGTCCATAAAAGAAATGGTGCAGGAAGCCAGAACCTCAGCAGGAGGTTTTGGAGGTGGGGCTGTAACCTGGTGCCCTCGGGGTGGGCATGTGCCAGGGTGTCCCCCTGTAGGCAGAAGGGGCAGGTGCTGGGAGTGTCCGTAAAGCGTGCCAGATACACGCCCATGGAGATTGCTCTGTGGAGAAGCTGGCAGCTGAGGTCCCTTGTGGCTCATAGGATCAACGGAGAATACAGGCTAGTCCACCAGGGACCAATGCCCCGCTGAGTATCTCACCACTTCTCGTTGGGGTGAGACGTGAGGACAGGATGATGGACGATGTGGAGCACAAATGTGTACAGCTGGCGGCAGCAGGCTGTTGAGAAGTGGACCAACTTGGTGCCCCCCAGCCTGCTGAGGTGGTGGGGGAGCACCGTGAGCCCTGCAGAGGCATGAGCTCCAGAGGGCTGTGGGACACTAGGAGGTAAAGGACCTGGTCAATATAGGCAAGGGCAGTGGGCAGCCTTTGCCTCCTGGAGTATGTGGCAGGGAGCATGCAGCATGGGCAGCTCCATGCGCCAGGCCAGCGCAGAGGGATCTGCCCACCCCTGCCTAGCATAGTCCAGGTCTCCAACATGAGTGATGTGGGCCAGGACCATCCTCTGGCACTCCCAGGGCACCTCCGTCACCGACACTGCCAGCTGCAGGTTTTTCAGCACAGGTTTGGTAAGGTCAGCATCCTGGGCAACCATCCCTATGGACCTGGAGGCAGAGACCAGCCTCCAGGTCCTGAGGTGCCAGTAGAAATCTAGCAGCTCCTCCAGGTCCTGCTTTGGGAAACCCCAGAGACAGATGAGCTGCCAGTTGTACTGGAAGCCTTGGAGGTGGTGCAAGGTGCAGCCAATCAGACACAACGACGCCTGGCTACTGGCACCATAAAGGAGCATCTGCAGGGCCTGAAGGCAAAAGGTGCGGACCTGGCTGCAGAAGCAGACCAGGCCTTGCCCACCGTCCCCCAAGAGGCGGCTCAGGACACCTGCGGAGACCCAGTGCTGTCCTGGCCAGAAGAGCCCCAGCACCCATCTCTGGAGACTGACCAGGAGCTCTGGAAGCATGGCCAGGGTGTTGAAAAGGTGCCAGAGCATGGACAGGACCAGCTGACTGATGACCAGTGCTCTCCCACAAAGGGAGACACTGCAGCGAGCCTGCCCATGCCTGCAGCCGCTCAGACACCCTGATCTCCAGCTGGTGCCAGTTCTCTGGCGGGGAGACAAGCAGACCCCCACGTGTCACCCACCGTCAGGCCATGTCCCAGGCAGAAGAAGCTGTTGAGTACATAAACTGGCAGGCCTCCACCTGCGCCAGGTCACCCGGATCCCGGATGGCGAGGAGCCCATCGTCAGTGTACACTGACAGGACCACGCTCATGGGCAGCTCCTTGAGCACCAGCCCCACCATCTGCTTGCGCAGGAGGCAGAGGGAGGGCTCAAGAGCAAAGGTGTACAGCTGGCCTGATAGCAGGCAGCTTTGTCACACTCCCTGCCTGAACGGGATGGGCTCCATCAGCATCTAGCTGAGCTTGACTATACTCTCTACAGAGGCATACAGCACCCAAAGAAACCGCACGCAGTGAGGACTGAAGCCAAATGCCCTCAATATGCCTCCAAGGTACCCATGATCCACCCTGTCAAACACACTTTTCTGGTCAAGGGACAGGAAGACAAAAACAGGCCATCCCTGTGAGTGAACTTGAGGAGGTCCTGGACCGGTACAGGTTATTAAAGATGGAACACCCTGGAACTGTGTACACCTGGTCAGGGCGAATCATGTTTGCCTGCACAGACCTCATGCGCAGCAAGATGGCTTTTGCTATGACTTTGTAGTCTGTACAGAGGAGCAAAACTGGGCGCCAGTTCCTCAGATCACAGGGGTCCCGCTTTTTGGGCAGCAGGACCAGGATGTCTCTCCTGCACAACATGGGGAGCTCCCCATCCCCTTCAGACTCAGCCCAGACGCCGGTGAGGTCTGGGCCAAGGACATCCCAGAAAGCATGGCAGAACTTGAGTCAGCCCATCAACGCCTGGCACTGTTAGCAGGCATCAGATGGAGCGTGTCTGAGAGCTTGACCAGGTCGAGAGGAGCCTCCAGCTGGTCCCAGTCATGCACGCTGACCTGCAGAAGTCCCCTCCTACAGGACCTGGCAGGCAGCAGTATCAGTTGAACCCAGAGAAAAGAGCTATGTATAGAAAGCCCTTGCCTTTCCTTGCATCTTGCCTGGGTCTGTGTGGGGGGTGCCATCGCCTGCCAAGAGGCAGGCAATGCATTTCTTAGGGCCCCTCCTCTTCTCCAGGGCATAGAAGCAGGAGCTGCCAAAGGAGCTGGACAAGTGAGTGGGTGAATGTGCTGTGGGTGCGGTGGTTGTCCAGAGCCTGAAGCTCTTCCCGACTCTCCTAACACTCTCCATGAAGGAATGGGTTGTCTGGGTCAGCGGCCAGGCGCCTCTCCAGCTCCAGTATTTCTCTCTCGAGCTGCTCTGTCTCCTGCTGTCAGGTGTGCCCCTGGGTGCACTGGTGACAGTACTGCCTGATGCACGCCTTCTACATGTCCCACCATCTCTGGCCTGAGGCAAAGGCTGGCTGCTGCTCATGCCAGGCCAGCCAGAACTCCTGGAAGGCGGCCACAAAGCCCATGTCCTCCAGCAGGCTGTTGCTGAAGTGCCAGTAGGCTGGCCCCGGAAGCTCGGGCTGCAGCGTCCTGGGTGTATACAAGGTGGTGGTTGCTGAAGGGAGCCGGCCTAGTGCCAGAGGTTTGAACTCGAGTGGTGTTCAGTATGTGCATGTAGTTTTGGTCCAGCTGGGAGTAGCATGTCCATTCCTCCTACACCCTGACAAAGGTTAAGGTGGTAGTGTCATCAGGGCGGTGGGCATGCCAAACGTCCACCAGGGAGTAGTCTGTAATGGTCTCCGTGAGGGCGCCTGTGACAGGCTGGCTCCACTCCCTGCCAGCAACGGTCCTGCCCCTTGAGGGTGACGCTGAAGTCCCTACCAAGGACCAGACACTTGTGAGGGTTCAAGATACCAAGGTAAGTGGCTCTCTGCCAGTAGAAGCAGGCCATCTCTGTCATGCACAGGGGCACAGATACTCACCAGGTTGAGGACAAGTCCCTGTACCCAGACCTGGATATGCAGCAGGCAACCTGGTACTACCTCAAGTGAGAAGAACCTCTGGCTTCAGGCTTGGGGAGAACAGAGTGGCCACTCCACTGCCCAAGCAAGCACATGCACATACCTTCCAAACGGCAGAGGCTCAATCTCCAGCATGCCACAACGCACCCCCCGTTGCACCTGGTGATGGTAGGGAGGGGGCTCCCGATCGCCGGAGATGTTGAGCAGAGGGGGTGGAGGGCCCAGGCTCTGAGGCTCAGCCTGCTGGGATGAGCATCCAGGCTTTTAGAGTAGAGAGAAGGCTGAGTGGGCAAGGTACCTGCTAACCAGGCACTGCTGTTGGTAATTTGGCCTTTTTTGCAGGCCCTTTACCATTCCTACCTGCTGTGGAAAAGGAACATGAGGAACCCTTGTCTTTTCCCCTCTCCTGGTTGGACTTGCAGGGCCCTGCGGCCCCCCCTCTTGGGGAGGCTGGCCACGGGAAGCCCCCTGGCCTACCAGGGTCTCCCCTGGCTCACCAGCAGCCCCCTAGTTGGGGGGCTCTTGCCCTGCCACTGGAGACTAGGTGGGGTCAGGTGTGGTGTAAAAGGGGAAGAAAAGCAACTTGCTACGGGGTGGGGAGGGTCAAGTGCCTCCTCCAGTTCCACTGGGTGGAGGAGTGGTATATGTGAGGGACTGGTACCACAAAACAACAAACAGGGACATGCACAGGAGGGAGGGGGGAAGCAAGCTGCTGACTTACTCAGTCATATATGAACAGCAGGAGAGAGGGACTGGAGCACAGGACTCACCACAGAAGGACAAACTGGGGTGCTTCTGGAGCAGCTAGCAAGCAGGCAGGAAAGCAAGCAGCAGGTAGTGGTGCTGCCAGAGGGACCCCACTGGCTGTAGGTGGCGGCTGGTGCTGGTGAGGGAGGCCCCAACGAGACAGGATGGCGGCTGTAGGTCCTGGACAGACGGCGATGGTGGTAGGGACAGCAGGAGCCTGTGGCAACTCCTCAGGCTCCTGCTGCTCCCTGCCCAGCTCCAGCAGCAGCTGGGGAAGTGGTGGTGCCCCTGCTGCTCGCGGGAGACTAGGCAAGATGGACTTATGATCTGACAGAGTCAATGGCAATTCTTGTGTTCTGATTTACACAACTGTACTCTGATTTACACCGTCCTGTACTCAGGCCTGGGGAGTGAGTTACCAAAAACACCACGACAAAAGAAATGACTTCACAGAACAGCAGCAGAAAAAATAAGTGTGAACAAAACAACAAACGGGCAAGACGACTAATACTGGAAAATGTCTTGATGATGAAAGGGTGGAGAAAAGTAATAATATTTAGAAAACTGTAACCAATGCAAAGGATTATTTGGGATAGCATAAGTACTACCAGAGTAATAATATGAAATTAAGTAGTAAAAGTGTAGCAAGAATTATCTGGACTATAAACGCTACTAAAATAAACCCCATGGGAAGTCTTGAAACCGCAATGTGCGGGGGAATTAAAACTACCCCAAACAAAACACAGTATTTCTAACTTTGGAAAAAAAGAAGAAAAGACCCTGTATAATTATGTAGGCTATTTCTTAACTCGGGCTTTTTGTTTTGTCTTGTTCTTCAAGTTATGCCATCTGAGGTTTACATCATACACCAAACAGGACTGTGTTTAAAATAATACTGCAAAATTGGACAGAGCTCCAAATTAACAACACTTTTAAATGCACCACTGGTGCCATGAAATTTAACCACAATACAGCTCCCAACTCCCAAATATGCCTGACACTGCTTTTTTTGTTTGTTTGTTTAAATTGGTTCTTCCAGGATCAGCAGACCGGGGCCTATGGTTTTGTCTAAAGATGAAAGAGAACTCGAGTGAAAAAATAATTTGGGATTATGCTGACGCGCTTCCCTCTCCCTCTAAGTCGCTTGTCTATTTATCAAAGGCAAAAATGCTGAAAGAAATAAAAGGCACCGTCGGGTCTGCTCTGAACGTTAAAGCACGCAGCCAAGCACACGCAGGATCATCGAGGACTTTCTATTGTTATTTATGGATCAAAAACCATTTCTTTTAAACTCTGCCAGGATTCGTTAGGCAGGTCTTGTACCAAGAATTGGATCCAAATCAAGCGGGTAAAAATATCAATAAGCCGCATCTAAATTTGCGGTCCTCTTTGCGGACTGTGGCCTCGCACAAGCCAGCCGGCTGCTAATGGCACAGCCCCACCGCCCGCTCCTCCCAGTCCGGCTTTCGGGTCTCTTTGGGGGACAAGGTTCAGGCCAGCAGCTCCCCTGTCACCCGCAAGTCTCTGAGACACGTTTCTTACCAATGGTGGGGTCGTGGTCCTCTGGAAACCGGTGGCTGATGAACTGCATAGTCATGGCTGAAAGCGAGAACGAGAACACGGTCATGCACGAGGCGACGACTGCCCGCGGCCTGCTCCCAGGCGCACCGAGCAGGCCCCAGCCGGGCCGAGACATCGCCTTCTGCTCTTGGCCTCGCGCCGCTACGGACCACCGCCCCCGGCACACCCGAACCAGGACGCACGGACGAGCCCCAGTTCCGAGGCGCGACACCGCCCGCGCGTGGGCCCGGCTCCGCCCGCACGCACCGCTCTTGCCCACGCCGCCGGCGCCCAGCATCACCAGCTTGTACTCGCGCGACTGCGACTGCGCCTGCCCCGTAGCGCCGCCGCCGCCCGAACGAGCCGCGGCCTCCATCCCGGGCCTGTGCGAACGCCCGGCCCGCCTCAGCCTCGCTCCACAGCGAGATCG